AAGACTGTTTTCGTTATGAAGATCAACATTCGTCTAAAATTGCCTTACAATCGAAATATTTTGACATCCCGTAGTTATGAGCGTTGATGATGACGTTGAAACCTTAGGCACATAGTTCTTTCTAGTCCCCCCAGTATTCCGAAAACAACTTGATGGGTTTATTGATTGAGGCATGGATAACAAGATCTCTTTTGGCTGAAGAATAAACTTCCTCCAGGTGATGGCAAGTTGTTCTTCATTTATCATGGTTGTAGGGAGAGGTTTGGGTGAAGAGATAGTTTCAGAGAGTAGCAAGTGAGTCTTAAGTCAAAAAGGTACTAGGTTAATAATGAGTAAATGCCTTGGGGAGAGAAAACTGTTGGGAGAAAGGAAACGTCACATCTCCTAAAGGAAACAATTTAGGCCTAGACAAGATAATGGACCAATTGATGGACTCAGTTACTAAATAGATGTAATGAAATGGTGAATGATTTATCTTCTAGACAATGAATCATTAGACGCTACATGTGATCATGACGTCTTAGATGATGAGTCTTAGACACGTGTTCCTAGACCTTACATAATGCAAGAGATAAATGCGTTGAGTCAAGTCATTCTTTTAATAACTTCATTCTCAATAATGTCCTTGGACGAATCAGTCTGTCTTCCAACAGGGGTTTCGTAAAAATGTCAATAATAAGTTGATCTTCTGTATTTACATACTATAAATCCACAATCCCCTTTTAGACATGATTTCGTATGAAATTATGTTTGATCTCAATGTTTTTAGCACCGGAATGCAAAATTGGACTCTTAAACTAATTGCATCATTATTATCACAAAAGATAAGAATAGATATCATAATCTTCTAGTTGATCTTTGAACCGGAGAAGTTGAGAACAACAACTAGCAGCTGAGATATATTATGCTTCAGTCGTTGAGAGTATCTTGCTAGTCTAGGAAATAAGATTGCCTTCAATAAAGTGACAACCTCCTATGATGATTTTGCCTTCCATCCTATCTCTAGCGTAGTCTACGTCATAGTAGTCTTGTACTATGAAATTTTCTCGTCCCTTAAAATAAAGATCAAGATTAATTGTTCGAATGAGATAATGAAAAATGTGTTTAATTAGAGTAAAATAGGTATCTCTAGGGTGAAATTAAAATTTGGTGCATGGGTAAACGCTAAACATGATATCAAGGCTTGACATTGTGAGATAAAACATGATATCAAGGCTTGACATTGCATGGGTAAACGCTCAACATGATATCACATTAGTTGAGCTCTTGCCTAGTCCCAAGTTGGTCGTTAGGTGCATTGGAGTCTTCATCTCCTTTACATTGTCCAACTTAAACTTCTTTAAGAGTTCTCTTACATACTTCGTCTAGTGTATGAAAATAAAGTCTTATTCTTATTTAATATGTAGACCTAGAAAGAACTTGAGTTCTTCCATCCTACTTATCTTAAATTCATTTTGCATCAATTCAAAGAATTCTTGGTAGAGAGAATCGTTAGTAGCACAAAAAATAATATCATCAACATTTATTTGGATAATGATGTTCAGATTTTTGCAAAACAATGTGGTGTCTACCTTTCTACTTGGAAAACTTATTTGTATTAAGAAAGAACTTAAGCGTTCATACCAAACTTTGTAAGCTTGCTTTAATATATAAAAAGCTTTGTTAAATTTGAAAACATGAACGAGATTGGCAGAGAACTCAAAGCCAAGAGGTTATTCCACATAAACTTCTTCTTTAATTTCACTATTTAGAAACACACTCCTTACATTCATTTGATACAATTTAAGTTTACTAAATGCAACAAATGAAAGTACAATGTGAATGCCTTCTAATCTAGCCACAAGTGCATAAGTTTCAGTATAGTCTATACCTTCTTGTTGTGAATAACCTTTGACAACAAGTCTAGCTTTGTTTCTTACAACTATACCATTTGATAAGTGCAAAAAAGTAGAAAATTTTCATATGAAATTTTGGCACTTGTGTTTTAAATTGTTTACATTTGTATCAATTCGCCCCAATCTAAGAAAGATGAAATGTAATCATATGTTTCCGAGTTGTTGATTAAAAGGAAATCATTTGATCCCTATTTTGTATATGTTCCAGATAAATTAAGAGAGAAGAGAAAAGAGAGAAGAGCAAATCCTGCAACAATTCGCCTAAGCTAAAATGATCTCACTTAAGCAAGATTTGTGCAGGAAGCCATTACTTTAAAAGTCATTCTCGCTTAAGCGAGAATAATTTAGCTTAAGCGAGAATGACCAATCTTCTCCAAGAAGTTTCTTCTCGCTTAAGCGATAATCATCTAGCTTAAACGAGAATTCACGCAGTATATATACTTACGATTCAGAAACAAAATAAAGAAGAGAAAGCTGCGTGAAAAGAGTCAAGAGCTACCCAAAGAGTTTTTCTTCAACTTTAGCTGTAGGATCTTCTTCTTCATCTCTTAGAATGTTAATGGCTACCATGAGTGGTTGATCTTTTCTCTTGGGATTGAATGTAATCAATTTGAACTCGGATGTAATCTGGTGATATTTATATATAGCATTTCTGTTTTTATTCAATATTGGTATTTTTGTTCTAATCTTAGTGCTTGATTCTATCTGATCAATAGTTTCATGAATGTGGGTTTTAGACGTGACTGGAAAGTATTTCTAAAATCTAATCTGAACAAGATAATTTGATATCTTGTGATGCTAAGGATAGATTCTAGTTTATCAATTGCTTATAACACTTGAATATAATGTTGGATAGTTTGTTGGATGTGTGAGGAATCAATATTCAAGGAACTGATCTTATGAATTTTATACGCGAGGAATTGGTATAAATGACTTATGTGTGTTGCATCAATATTGGTAATTTCAGTTGCTATATGTTTAAATTCCTTCAGATTGCAGACGAGTGAGATAGATGAATTCAATCCTAACTTCTCATATTAAACATTCTTTAACTTATCTGTTGTTACTATTTTACTTTTAGGCAACGTAGTACAAATTATCAAAATCCATTATGAATCAGATTGAATACCCTTGTATATATGTTGTTTGAGATAAATGTATCTATTTAATTGAAGTTGTTCCTTGTGGGATCGATACTCTTACTTAAAAATCATTATACTACAGTTGACTATTGGTACGCTTGCCAAAAGATTCAACAAGTATTTTTGGCGCCGTTGTCGGGGAACAGTTTTCTTTTGAATTTTTAAAGTTATCTCATCCAACTTTGTGAATATATATCTTTTTTTTATTTAGTTTATTTAGTTTTCTCTTTTGTACTAATTCTTGCTTGAGCTATTTTGATTTATGTTCTTAAGAGGTCAGGTTTCTAAAGATCAATTAGCGTTTGACCTAGAGATAGAAAAAAACCGCTCGAAGAAATAGAGGCAAAAACAAGAAGAAGCAAGGAAAAACAAAGGAAAAATCTTCCAATACTTCCATCACACATCTGGAAACAGAAAATACGACGGAAAAAGGACCAACCCCACCTAGAAGAACACTGGAGACTATGTTATGCAACAAGGGCCAAGATATTTTTCCAGCATAGTAATATTGTCCACCACCAAAACATTGGAGATGAAGCCAGCTTTCCTTAGCCTAATCAATTCTCATCAATTCACTGGAATGGATAATGAAGATCCATATATTCATCTTTCTACGTTCCATGAACTGATAAGAACTATGGGATTTGAAGAAAGAGATCTTGACCATGTATATATGTGTTTGTTTCCTTTTTCTTTAAAAGGCAAAGAAAAGGAATGACTTAAATCACATCCAAACCAAAGTCTGAACAAGTGGAGTGATGTAGAAGATAAATTCTTGAATAGATTCTTTCCACCTTCTCGTTACATTAAGGCAAAAGCTGAGATTTCTACTTTTAGGCAAGGACCAGATGATCCATTCTATGAAGCTTGGGAATGATATAATTCTTTATTAAAGAGATGTCCAAATCATGGGTTTGAAGATATTGCTCAACTAAATATTTTCTGCAATGGTCTGAGGCTAGACACAAAAATGATATTAGATGCAACAGCTGGAGGAACAATGATGTCTGTAGATGCAGAGCAAGCAACAAGAATCATTGAGGCACTAGCATCTACAGACCATCAAGCTCAACATAATAGACAAACAATTCAACGAAAAGGAATGCTTGATCTAAGTATTATAGATGCAATTTTAGCTCAGAATAAAATTCTGGCTCAATAGATGGAAGCATTAACCAAACAGATGGCTAATTTACCTGAGCAGTTAAAAGTAGTACAATCTTCTCCTAGTCAACAACTCATGAGATGTAACTCCTATGGAGGTGACCATCCCAATGGTCATTGTTCATATCAAAGTAGCCCACAAGAAGGAGAAGTTCAATACGTGAGTAATCAAGGAAGAACAGGTAATTTCTCTAACAACAATAACTTTTCACAGGGGTGAAGAAACAATCAAAGTCAGAATTTTGGATGGAAACAAGATGTTGGTCCTTCAAATAGACAACCTCCTTATCAGCATCAACAACAAAATCCATCTGTGTATGAAAGAATAACCAAATTGGAGGATACTCTAGAAAAATTCATGTAAGCTTCTATAACCAATCAGAAAAATACAAAAGCTTCAATCAGAAATATTGAAACACAGGTGGGACAGTTGGCTAAACAACTATCAGATCAACAAGCAGGTCATTTTTCAGCCAACACCCAAACTAATCCCAAGGAGCATTGTAAATCAATTACTAACAAGAGTGGTAAAAATGTGGGAAGAGGGATCAGAGACAATCTAGTTATGGAGGAGGAAATTTTGGAGAAAAAAGAAAATGAGAAAGAGAAAAATGAGTGTGAGGAAGAGGAAGAGAAAAATAAAAGTGAGTATGTGAAAAAAAGAAAAGAAAAAGAAGAAATAAATAGAAATATAGAGAAAAAGAGGGAGAAAGGTGAGAAACAGGTACCGCAGTTGAAGAACCTACCTTACCCTCCAAATTCGTCCAAAAGAGATAAGGAAAGGCAGTTTGCAAGGTTCATGGATATTTTCAAGCGACTGCAGATTAATATTCCATTTGTGGAAACTATGGAGCAGATGTCAACCTATGCAAAATTCATGAAAGAGCTCCTGACAAAGAAAAGAAGATTTTCTGAAGAAATAGTAGAGCTTGAAGTAGGTTGTAATGCTATAATCCAAAAATCATTACCTCAGAAGTCCAAGGACCCTGGAAGTTTCACCATTCCAGTCACAATCGGGACATTGCCAGTAAGTAAAGCATTACTTGACTTGGGTGCTAGTCTAAATTTGATGCCTTTGTCCATATTAAGAAGAATAGGAGATTTGGAAGTAAGGCCTACACGGATGACATTACAATTAGCTAACAGATCCATGAAATATCCATATGGTGTGGTAGAGGATGCCTTAGATAAATTCATGTTCCTAGTTGACTTTGTGGTGATGGATATTGAGGAGAGAAAAGAAGATTACAACTGTAGGAATTGGAAGAAATGAGACTTAGTGTTTATGAATCCTCTAAGCTCTACAAGAAAAGGATGAAAGCTTATCATGACAAGAAAATTTTAAAGAGAGAATTCTACCCAGGTCAATCAGTGTTACTGTTCAATTCTAGGTTAATGTTATTTCCCAGAAAACTCAAATCAAAATGGTCAAGATCGTTTCTTGTCAAGGTTGTCAAACCTTATGGAGCTATTGAGTTAGAGGATCCTGAATCCAAAAGAAGTTGGGTTGTAAATGGGCAAAGATTGAAGCCCTACTTTGGTGCTGAGGTTCATAGACTTCCCACAATCATCCAATTGGACGAACCATAATGATACAAGCATCAAGCTCGTGACGTTAAACAAGCGCTTCTTGAGAGGCAACCCAGTGTTTAATTATGTTTTCACATTTTAAGTTTATCTTGTGTGTTAATTGTGTTTGTGTATATATTATGTGTTTGTATGCGAAAGGGTAATTTTTAACAGTTAAATATCTCAATAGGGCAAATCATGCATGCCTAAGTGCTTTTTGTACCAAAATGCTTGTGGCATGCATGATAATAAGTTTTGGTGCCAAATTGAGTTCATTGAATGTTAAAAATTGCCTTGTTTTGGCCAAATTGTGAAAATTGAGCTTGAGAGTTTAATTCTGCATTTGATTATGTGAAACTTTAGGGAATGACAGATAATTGGTTGAGGAATAGATTGTTATGTGTCTCTAGATTAATTAGACTAGTTCATCATGAATTGGGTGAGTAAAAGTTGAAATATTTTCAAAAGTGGCAAAACTGCACTATTTTCGCCTAGGCTAAACCTTCTCGCCTGAACGAGATATGCAGAAAACTTAAACAAGTTTTGCTGATACTTTCGCTTAAGGGAAAGAATACTCGCCTGGGGGCGAATTGAATTTTAAAATTCAAGTCTCTCTGTAACAGTTTCGCTTAAGCTAAACCGAAGTCGCCTAGGCGAGAATTGAATTTCAAATTCCAGTGCCCACTGGAACATTTTCGCTTGAGCTAAAATTGAGCTGCTTAGGCGAGATTTAGGCTAAAATTTGGGGTGTCCACTAGAACATTTTCGCTTATGCTAAACCTTGTTTGCTTGGGCGAAAATGTCTTGCAAATAATGTTGAGCCACTGGAGCTTTTTCGCTTGAGCGAAAATTGGTTCGCCTGGGCGAAATCTTTTAAAAATAGAACCTGTCATTCTAGCTTAAGCGAAAAAATTTTAGCTTAAGCGAGAACATGTGACCCTGTGTTAAAACTTAGAAAAGGAGGCATTGGTTAATAACTACTTTCTTTTCAGCATAGTGCTTTCTTCCTTCAAAGTATAGGGCGCGATTTTCTTGATCCAATGACGCTCAATTAACTCACCAATCCCTTCCTCCCTTTGCTAAATTCCCTTGAAGGTAAGTTCCACTTCACTATCTTCCATTTTCAAAGAACAAATTTGGGGTTTTTCTCTGTATGTTTTGTGGAACCCTAAGGTAGTGCCCATGCGAGTTATTGTCCATGAATTGTTGTGAATGTTTAAGTGGAGTTGTTGGTATAACTGAATAGTGTAGGCTGTTTTTGCATGGATTAATTCATGAAAATTTGATTGATGAAGACGCACATGAACTGTTCGATGAAATGCCTAACTTAGTTGATGAAATGCACCATAGAGGACGATTCCACCTTTATGACTACCTCTATAACAATGTTCGAGGACCATATTCAGGCATGACTCCACCAGAATTCTTGGCATACTTACAGTGGCCTGGGGACAGTCTAATTTTTCCAGGGGGAAGTGGACCAACTAGACCTGACAACAATTTTGCAATTGTACCTTCAAGAGGCAATTATAGTGGACCTTCAAGAGGAGGAGTTTTAGACTGATTTGGACAGAGTAATGAGGGGACATTGACACACAACACTATTCCAACCCTTAGAACTCAATGATATACGATTTTTTTGTTTTACTGCAGAAATTTTATTGTAGTAATATTATGCTTTAGTTGTTTTGGTTAGAATGTACAGTTTTAATTACTTTTTGCTTTACATTTTGCTTAATATTGCATAGAGCACATACACAGCTAAAATGAATTTTTTGAGAATTATAAGAAAATCTTTCTTGAGGAAATTGGTTAAAGAGAAATCAAGTTTCAAAAAGTTTCCTAAGATAGTACAACTGAAAAAAAAAAGGAAAATTTTGGTTGAATCCATAGTTAAATGGGATTAGGATACTAGTCCTGGATAATTGGTTAAGATAATCAATTGTAATAACAAGTGATATACCAAGGAAAGAAACCAATCACAGAACCCAGTGAGTGTGTGAATCCTTAAATAGTTTGAGAGTTTCCATTGTTTGTTGTCAAGTTGATATTGCTTGAGTTTTCATTTGGATAACATCACACTTGAAGCATGGAAATGATCAAGGTAGTTTTGTTGAATTTAAATAAAGGAGCTGAGTATATTTTTACTGTAATTCACTCTTTAGTATTGTATAGAAATGTATCTAAAAAACAAGAAAAGAAAAGAAGAAAAAGAAGGAGTGAATAATGAATGAAAAAGAAACATTGGGTTTTGAGGTATGAGATGTGATGAATTAAGAGTAGAATTGGAAGTGGGTTTAAAATGTAGTTATGTCTCTTTTTTAAAGTTGTGCTTTTTGTTATCTTGAAAAACCATAATTCTTGGAAGCCTAGCCTTATTACAACCTTTAAAAGTCCTTGAGATTCATGTTGATTGTGTGTGTAGTTTGATTGAAAATGACTGCAATTTTAATTTGTTCAATTTCAGTGGAAAACGAGAGAACCACATCCTTGTAAGATTCAAGAGAGAATTTCCTTGATTAGAATCAATGGTTCTTACAATTGATTGTCTTGAAAATTTTGCTGCACTTTTATCCTACTTTTATTTGATAATTGGATTCACCATTTGCTTTTGATTTTGAATCTGTAGTTTGGAATGCACAATTTGTCTTGTAAGGACTATGAAATTGATTTCTCAAATAACCAATTTCAAAGTTTGAGTTTTGAAAAGTTGTTGGGATCTTATTACTTTGCTTGAGGACAAGCAAGAGGCTAGGTTTATTTCTAGATTCCCATTTTGCTCCTACGACATGCTTTTCGTTGGAGAGCTCAACAAGCTTCCAAACTACGTTCTTTTAGAATTGGTCAAGTTCTTCTTTCATTGCTTTAATCCATGAGTCATATTGTAACACTTTATTGACATTAGATGGCTCCATCTCAAAGATAAGAGCAATTGGTAGTTGCTTGTAGAGGGCTTTAGTCTTAATGTCTTCCTTCATATCTCTTATGATCTTTTCAGGAGGATGATTTTTTACTGTTAGACAATGTGAACCTTACGGCTTTCCTTTCTCAACACCAATATTGTCTATTTGTCTAAATGGTTTAACTCAGGCGAACTGTTTGGGAATGTTGATGCAATGTCGTATAACTTCAAATCTGTGACAGAATCATCTAACTTGGACATTTTGTTGTCAGGCTCACAATTGTTAAATTGAACATGTATGGCCTCTTCCACTTTAAGAGTTCTAGAGTTATAAACCATAAACGCTCTAAAGGTTTCTAAGTAACCAAGCATGGTCCCTTCGTCACTTTTGGAGTCAAACTTTCCCAAACTATTTTTAGTATTCAAGATAAAGCATTGATATCCAAATGGATGAAAGTAAAAAATATTGGACTTTTTATTCTTCCATTATTCATATGGAGTTTTGCTTAAGATGGGCCTTAAATAACTCCTATTTTAAAGATAGCACGTAGTGTTTACATCTTTAGCCAAGAAATGTTTAGGAATTTTGAAATTGTTTGGCATCGTTCTGTAATTTCTTGCAAAGAGCAATTTTTCCTTTTAACGACACTGTTCTATTAAGGTGTTTTTGGAGTAGAGAAATTGTGATTGATGCTCGAGTTTTCACAAATTTTTTGAAATAAGTCATTTTCAAATTCTCCTCCATGATTACTTCCAATTGAAACTATTCTATTGCTTTTTCATTTTCTACCTTCTTACAGAGTTTATAAAAGGCTTTGAAAGCTTCATCTTTATGGGATAAGAACTTTACCCATGTTCATCTAGTATAGATATCAATGACTACCAGGCCATAGTATTTACCACAGACAGACATTGTTCTTGTTGAATAGGTTTAGATGAAGTAGCTCAAGCAATTATTAGTTGAAGTAATACTTTTGCTTTTGAAAGATTCCTTTACATGTTTTCCTTTCACACAAGTATCTCAAAAGATCTTTTCATTGATTGACATTTTTGGCAACCCTCTTACAAGGTTAACATTGCAACTTAGAGATTAATCTCACGTTTGTTTGTCCATATTTACTATGTCAGATCTTAGACGAGTTCAGGTGTTCCCAAGTACTTATGAGTACTTTATTCTTGTCACATCTAGGAAAGATAACTTTCTTCTGAGCTTTCCAAGTTAAGGGCACTCTGACTTAAAATATCCAGGCTTTTTTTCATTCATAGCAGACAACAAGCCCTTCCTTCCGTTTATCCTTGTTTTTGTTTATGGATGAGGATCCAACGCGTCTACCCTTGAAGGGTATATTCTTCTTCTTCTTCCACATGGACTAGATCTTTCTAGAGATGAATAAAATTCATCGTCTTCATCTTCTTCCTAAGAGTCATCATTAGCGTTTGATTAATCTAAAGGTTCTTAAACCTTGAGGGCTTTGGTGGGTGTTCTCCTTATGGTTTGTTGAGCTTCGAGAGTTATACTCTTTTATTTTCTGATCAGCCCATCTTGTTAAAGCTCTAACTCATGAACCTTTAAGATGTCAACCAACTTCTCAAGACTAAGACCGTCAAGGTTCTTAGATGTTTTCAATGTTATAACCTAAGCTCTTCATTGACGAGGAAGGTTGCATAGAATTTTATCAATGTGATCAAAGTTTTCATAAGTCCTACCTAAATATTTCAGCTCGATCAAGATAGTTTTGAAAACGGCTGAACATTGCCTGAAAGCTTTCATTGTCTATCATGGTGAACAACTCATATTATTT